TGTCACAAAAGACCACGCTGGCAAAGTCAAAGGAGGGTTTAATGTTTCCGCGCTCACACTAAAGGACTTTGTGTTCAGAGTAAGTGGGCAAGATGCGCCTTCATGACCATCTTGGACAGCTTTTGGATCTGCTTGGACAGTCCCTTGAGCTCCTGGTGCGTGTGACCAAGCACCCGAATGCTACACTGTACTTATGTAAGCGCTACTCAGGAACAGTCTTTTCTGTTACTGCAACAAATGGACGCCCCTATGACAGGGGTGTCTCCAAGAATGGGCGCAAGTAGTGCGAGGAGGGCAAAGAGATGGCCAAGTTCACTCATGGTCGCAGGAGATTGACATGGTTAGGGTTTAGGGTTTAGGGCTTAGGGGTTTAGGGTTCAGGGTTCAGGGGTTTTTTCCCTCTCGCATGGCTAAGGGTTCAGGGGTTTAGGGTTTAGGGTTTAGGGTGTGGTAGCGTGGACAGAGTCCTATCCGTCTGTTGGACTTCGTCGGCTGCAGGCCAACCAAGGAAATTCGCAAGCAGGACGCATCTTGTCTAAATGAGTCTGGTTGAAAAGCCTTCATAGCCATGATGGCCATAATGATTAGACTAAGGTCTGGGGATATAATACACTAGACATTGGGACTAGAAGCGGGTGGTATTGCTGGTCATTCACTCAGACTTCTGTATTCAGTATCAATCTCCTCCTCCGCAGCCATGAGCTCAGGTCCAGGGGAAACGTGTGACAGCGCCTGGGACGTCAAGTATCTTGCTCGCTTTGTGCCCGGGGGGTTGAGTATGGCTTCTTCGGGCTGTGCCCTGTCGTTCCCTTGCGAAGAATGACCTAACGTTCGAGCGCTGGCTCAGCGAGCTGACCGAATGCAGAGATGCTGATGCACTGATGCCCGCTGAAACATCTATCCTAATCACAGGCAGCGAATCACATCCTTTCAATAGCAGCCCATTCAGCCCACGCTGATAGAAACGCAATCAAACCCAGAACCAAGTTTCACTCAGCTTCTTCTCAAACTCGCTGTTGAGAGAGTCGTACTGCGAGTCGTACTCTTTCTCTGCTTCATGCCTTGCACAGACTCGATATGCAGGAAGCCTTCAACCAGTAAAACTGGTGCTAGTTCAACTTATGCTAGTAGTAAGCAGCAGCAGCAGCGGCAGCAGCAGCGGCAGCAGCAGCAGCAGGAGCAGGAGCAGTAGCAGTAGTCGTCGTCGTCGTCGTCGTCGTGGTTGTCGTAGTCGTAGTCGTAGCAGTAG